TCCTGAGTAGCTAGGATGACAGGCACGAGTCATTGGCGCCCAGCAGTGGGAGAGCTTTGAGCAAAAGAGCTCGGGGACAGCACCCAGGCCCTGGGTTCAAATCCCATGACAAAAGAAAAGAAGACATTTGTTTTTATAGACAAAGGATTATAGGCAGACAAAGGACATTTTATAAAAGGATCAGGTCAGAAGGAAACATACTGGATTCCAAATGTATGATCTATATGTACAAGTGTAAAATGTAAATAAGTGTAATATAAAAATAGAAACCTTTGCACCTAAAAATAGAGCTTCCAAATAGGTATAATAAAAAGAGAGGCTAGACATTTAAATGATAATAGTTGGAGCCTTTACTATTTCCCCTTGCAATAATGAACCATTAAGCAGAACATCAATGAGAGGCTAAGTGGTGGGGAGGGGAGGAGAGAAGGAATATAAACAAATGAACAAATGCTCCAGGCTCTGCTCTCCCACCTGACCATATTTCCTCTTGGTACTTCCTATTGGACAAACCTTCCAGGAAGTCCAAGGGCAAAGGCCTTCCTATTGGGCAATCTAATAGTGGTCAGAGAACAGAGGATTCTGGGATATGTAGTTCTTTAGGGTCAGGCAGGAACAGCTATTTGTATTATACATACAAAATCTCCATCCTTTTCCCTGGAATCACTGTTCACAGGACCAAAGTGGCTCTAACTTGGCCCAGACAGATCTCTAGCCCTCTGGAAAATGCAGCCCTCCACTTTCTACCCCAGGGTGTCTCCCCCACTGCCCTGTGAACTCCAATTTGATTCTAGTTTGGAAGTTTCCAGGGATGGCGCAGTGTTCTGTTCTTTTCCCATTGCAGCTGCCAGGAATTCTTGCCACTTTGCTGCTGTTCATCAAGCTGGGCTGACAGTGAGGCCTGGAGAGCATGGGACACCCGAGTCCACCAGGCTGCTGGGCACGGAGCCCACTTTTTATTTCTCTGGGACACTCGCTGCTTTTGGAGAGTAATAATAATTTAAAAAGAAATCCAAGAAGCCACTGTCCACCTTCATTCCTGTCTCTTTGGTTTTCTTTTGATCGTGGGGCTTGAACTCTGGGCCTGGGCGCTGTCCCTCAGCTCTTCAGCTCAAGGCGAGCGCTCTACCACTTGAGCCACAGCGCCCCTTCCAGTTTTCTGGTGGTTAATGGGAGATAAAAGTCTCATGGACTTTCCTGCCTGGACTGGCTTTGAACTGCGATCCTCCTGAGTAGCTAGGATGACAGGCGTGAGCCACCGGCTCCCGGCTTCTCTGGTTTTCTTTTATACCTCAGCTGGCAATGGTTTGAGTTTGGAATACCTTGAGTAGGACAGTGTGCAAGTCTGTTTTTGTTCCTATCATGAAAAATCTGAGGCCGGTTATTTATAAAGAGGTTTGCACTGGGCACCAGTGGCTCATGTCTGTCATCTTTGCTATTCAGGGAGCTGAGATCTGAGGATTGTAGTTTAGAGCCAGTCCAGAGAGAGGTCTGTGAGACTCTTATTTCCAATAAACAACTCAGAAAAAGCTGGAAGTAGTGCTTTGGCTCAAGTGATAGAGCACTAAGAGGCTCAGGGACAGAGTTCAAGACCTGAGTTCAAGCCTCAGGAGCAGAAAAAAAAAAAAAGACCTGGTTGGACACTGGTGGCCCACATCTCTAATCCTAGCTACCCAGAAGGCTGAGATCTGAGGATCCAACTTCAAAGCTGACCTTGGGCAGTAAAGTCCATGAGACTATTATCTCTGACCGATCAGCAAAACAACAACAACAACTCAGGAAGTTGAGCTGCTGAGGCTCAGTGCTAGAGCGCCAGCCTTGAATGAAAAAGCTAAGGGACTGCACCCAGAGCACAAGTTCAACCCTGATACCAGAGCACACACAAAGAAGCTTTAGTTTCTGATCTGGAAGGCTGAGAGTTTCAAGGTCTACCAGACCTGCCAAGGTTCTTCTTGTGCGTGGGGACCCTCTAGATTCCCAAAGCTACATACGGCTTTGCATAAAGACACCAAGTAAGTCTGGGGGACTCAGGTCTCTCTTTACACAAGCCTCCACCCTCAATACCTCACCTAACACAAACGTGCTCCCCAAGCCCCAACCTCCAAGTGCCATTCAGTATGAACTGGGGGAATTGTTTCCAGCACCTTCATTCTGAGAAATACATACAACCCTTCTTTAATCCGACTAGGTCAGACTCAGCCACAGTCTGTGGGCCCCACAAACCCCTACCTGTCAAGTTCAACATTTGCTATTTTCTTTTTTTGGTCAGTTCTGGGGCTTGAACTCTGGGCCTGGGCGCTGTCCCTCAGCTCTTCAGCTTAAGGCAAGCACTCTACCACTTGAGCCACAGCGCCACCTCCGGTTTTCTAGTGGTTTATTGGAGATCATAGTCTCATGGACTTTCCTGCCTGGGCTGGCTTTGAACTGCAATCCTCAGATCCTGAGTAGCTAGGATGACAGGCGTGAGCCACAGGCAGCCAGCTTCACCTTTTCCTTAAATCAAAGTGAATCCCTTTTAACAACACCCTAGAAAAACAAAAGTAAGTTCATTCCCGCTCACACTCAGAGGTTTGCATCCATGGTAGACTGGAGGCAGAGGAGGCTGCAGACCTCGTGGTGGCCAGGAAGCAGAGAGGGAGCTTGTGCTGATGAACTTTCTCCTACCTTTGCTCCATCCATGCGTTCAGCTTATTGGATGATGCCAGTGACAATCAGGGCAGGTCTTCCAGCACCATGTGCTGTCCCACAAGTCAATCATCTCTAGAAACGCCCTCAGGGACACACCCACAAGTCAGCTTTACAAATCCCCTAGGTGTCCCAAAAAAACCTTCAAAGAGCGAGTGGGCCTTCCAGCCTGAAGAAAACGCTGCGCACCACAAATGGCCATTGGCCTCCTCTCGACACGCCGCGGCCTCCAGCCGCAGCTCACCCGGGCAAATCAAAGAACAAATAGTGTTTGAGCCTCCTGGGATTTTATTCTTTTTCTCGTGTGGAACAAAGTGCACATCCATCCTAACTGGATGGAAAAGGACTGGTGCCCAGGAGAGTTGGTTGAGGATGGAGATGGTGGCCTGGGTAGATTTGGGGAATGCCAGGGAGAGGCTGTAGCACGATTACAGCTTCACCGCCAGGTTCTTTAAGTGAAGGAGGGAAGACAGAAAATGATCCCCAGAGAAAGCAAGAAAGGGCAAGAGGGAAGAAAGGCAGAGGGAGGGAAGGAGGGAGGAAGACAGAGGTTTCTCGTGGTCTTTGGTTTAATTTCTGCCCATAAACAGCACCCATACCCCATGATTTTCAAGGACATTGGCTCACCTTGAGTTCTCTTCAGAGAACCCCAAAACAGGTAATTTTTTTTGTCAGTAGTGGAATTTGAATTCAGGGTATCACACTTGAGCCACATCTCCAGCCTGGCATTTTTGGTTAGTTAATTTTAGAAAGTGAGTCTTGAGGACGCTTTTAACCCAACCAGCCTCAAACCATGATCCTCAGACCTCAGCCTCCTAAGTAGCTAGGATTACAGTGTGAGCTGCTGGCACCTGTTCCCCACCCCAAGCATCTTTTCTTAAATGCCTTTGAATGTTAAAGCAACAACAAAATGCTTCACTTGCACTCCAAATGATGTATTGCCATATATAAATAATCACCTTCTCTTGGAAGATATCAGTAGGTCCACTGATAAAGGGTAAACAGAACTCCCACAAAACAAATTTGAACTTGAATCAGACCCTGTGGTTCACACATATCCCTAGGGAGGAGGCTGAGAACATTGAATCTGCAGGATGACTCCATCTTAATCAATGAAGGGCTGGGCACTGTGGCATATACCTACCATCCCAGCTACAAAGGAAACACAAATAGGAGGAAAACAGTCCAGACTCAACCAGGCAGAGAGAGAGAGAGAGAGAGAGAGAGAGAGAGAGAGAGAGAGAGAGAGAGACCCCATATTGGGGGAAAAAAAGAAAGCTTAAGCAAAAGCAAGAGGCCCGGGAATGTGGCTGAAATGGTAGATCTCCTGCCTAGCAAGTGTGTAGCCTGGAGCTCAACCCTAGTAACACACACACACACACACACACACACACACACAAGCCAGCCTGACTGTGTGGACATTGGTCAACTTCCTTTTTGCGCAGGATGTTGAGATTTGTAAAGATCTTGCTTAAAATACAACCAGTCAGAAAGGAGGGAAGCCCTGGTCTCTGGTCAGACAGTCTTCAGTGGGAATATTAAGAGCTGGGTAATTCTCAGCCCCATCTGCCGTGGCCAGAATGTTCTAGAAAGCTGGACACACTTATAATCCCAGCGACTCAGGAGACTGAGATCTAAGGATTGCAATTAGAAGCCTGCCCAGGACAGAAAAGTGCGTGAAACTCATCCCCAACCAGCAAAAAGCTAGGAGAGCTGTGGTTCAAGTGGTGGAGTACCGGCCTTGAGTGGAAAAAGCCAAGCAAGAGAGCACAAGACCCTGAGTTCAAGCCCCAAAAAGAAAAGACACGGAATGTTCTAGAATGTCTCAGCATCAGAGGTGCAGTGGGTGAAAGATTGTGGGGGGGGAGACCAAGGCACTTTGGGGACCCCTTGCCAGGGTATGGCTCCATACAGCAGTTGGACTTGAGGGGAGGTATTGCACAAGCATTCTGTGAGCAGGGTGGGGGGCTCTGTAATGGGGGAACCCCAATCATCACCCCAGCTTGGAACCATGGCATCCAGGCGATTCACAGAGCTGGCTGAAGACCAGGCTGAGGGAACCTGAGAAAAACAGGTGATCGCCACCTACCAGAACATGAACTTGGACAAGACACCCCAACTTCAGGCAGCTTTGTTTTCTCTTCTGTCCCTTGTGGGGCTTGAACTCAGTGCCTGGGCGCCGTCCCTGAGACTCTTTGTGCTCAAGGCAAGTGCTCTAACCACTTGAGCCACAGGGCCACTTCCGGTTCTCTGGTGGCTCATTAGTCTCGCGGTCTTTCTGCTCAGGCTGGCCTCCAGCTGGGATCCTCAGATCTCAGCCTCCTGAGTCGCTAGGATGACAGGCGGGAGCCATCACCAGCGCCCAGCCTCAGGCAGCTTGTAAACACCAGGCTGGGTGCCGGGGGTGGCCGGGCAGAAGTGCAAGGCACGGGTGACGCCGCTGGATGTGTGGTAGGACACACTGCCCACGGCCAGCCACGAGAATGCCACAGAAGCAGCAAGTTCGCACACAGCCAGGACCCCAGGCCCAGCTGTCCTGAGGCTCGTGGCTCTAGAAGCAAAGGGGAGCACGCGGGGGGCAGAGGGGGTGCGGGCAGGAGGGAAGGGGGTGCTCTGAGCTTGGAGCCAGCCCCCGTGGCTCGTGCCTCAGTCATTGTCCTAGACGAGGCAGGAGAAGGCTGATTTGGGGCGGGGGTTATCACCCCTAACAGCTGCAGCTGCTGGGCTGGGGAGGTGGGGCGTCCCCCAGGGCCGGGCCTTTCCCATTGCTGCCGGGACTCGAGGTGGGCTCCAGAGACTCGTTCATCTTGTCACAAATGATGTCAACCAGGCGCTCGAACACCTGCTTCACGTTGATGTTCTCCTTGGCACTGGCTTCAAAGAACTCGAAACCTGCACGGGCAAACCGTGGGGTACTCATGAGACACCCTCCCGGGGTGGGGGAGGCCTCCGAGCCCAGGCGAACTTCAATGCTACTTTTGTTGTTGTTGTTAGTCGTGGGCCTTGAACTCAGGGCCTGGGCACTGCCCCTGAGCTTTTGCCCTCAAGGCTACCACTCTACCACATTGAGCCACAGCACCGCTTCTGGCTTTCTGGTGGTTTATTGGAGATGAGCATCTTACAGAGCGGCTGGGAAGGTGGCTCAGTGGTAGAGCGCTTGCCTTGCATGCATGAGGCCCTGGGTTTGATTCCTCAGCACCACATAAACAGAAAAAGCTGGAAGTGGAGCTGTGGCTCAAGTGGTAGAGTGCTAGCCTTGAGCTGAAGAGCTGAAGAGCGTCCAGGCCCAGAGTTCAGGCCCATGACCCGCAAAAAAAAAAAAAGAGGTTGAGATCTGAGGATCATGGTTCGAAGCCAGCCCAGGTAGAAAGTGCATGAGACTCTAATCTCCAATGAGCCATTTAGAAAAAAAAGCAGCGTTGTGGTTCAAGTGATAGAGCGCCAGCCTGGAACAAAAGATGACCAGGGGCAGTGCCCAGGCCCTGAGTTCAAGCCCTAGGACTGGAAAAAGAAGAAAGAAAAGAAAGAAAGGAAGGAAGGAAGGAAAGAGAGAGAGAGAGAAAAAGAGAAAGAAGGAAAGAAAAAAAGAAGGATGGAAAAGAAAGGAAGGAAGGAAGGAAGGAAGGAAGGAAGGAAGGAAGGAAGGAAGGAAAGAAAGGAGATAATGAACCAAAAAATCAGCTTCAGGAGGCTGAGATCTGAGGATCTCGGTTCAAAGTCAGCCCGGGGAGAAAGTCTGTGAGACTCCTATCTGCAATAAACCTCCAGAAACCTGGAAGTAGCCCTGTGGATCAAGTGGTAGAGCACTCGCCTTGAGCTGAAGAGCTGAGGGACAGCGCCCAGACCCAAAGTTCAAGCCCCACCCACCATCAACAACAACAAAAAAGAGAAAAATCAGCTTCCACTGTAATGATCTGGGGTTCCAGGAGTGTTTCTGGGCGGGTCCCCCAAAATGGAGCCGGGTGCTGGGGTTGGCTCTGGGCCTGGAGGCCGGGGCGGGGCTGTGCACTGACCCAGGTCGGCGGCCAGCCGGTGGCCGTCCTCGGCGGGGACCACGCGCTCCTCCTCCAGGTCGCACTTGTTCCCCACGAGGAGGACCTGGGCGTTGTCCCACGAGTAGGTCTTGATCTGCGTGGCCCTGTGGAGGGGAGGGCCGTGAGCCAGGGGCTGGGGGCCGGGAAGGCCCGGGGCGGGGGTCAGCGGGGCGCCCGGCCTCACCAGTCCTGCACGGCGGTGAACGAGTCTTGGTTGGCGATGTCGTACATGAGCAGGAAGCCCATGGCGCCGCGGTAGTAGGCCGTGGTGATGGTGCGGTAGCGCTCCTGGCCCGCCGTGTCCTGCGGGAGCAGCGGTCAGCCGGCTGCGGTCCACCTGCTCCCTACCCGCACACCCTGTCTGATGGGGGAGGCGCACGCCTGTCCTCATGCCCAGTCTGATGGGGGAGGCACGGACCTGCCCTTATGTGCCAGCCTGATGGAGAAGGCACAGAGCTGCCCTCATGCCCCAGTCTGCTGGGGGAGGCAGACCTGCCTTCATGTCCAGTCCGCTGGGGGAGGAATGGACCTGCCCTTATGTGCCAGTCTGATGGGGGAGGCATGACACTGCCCCCTCCCCTTGACCTTGCTTCCAGGGACCACTTAGTGGCCACGAAGATGGAGCTGGGCTAGGAGGGCTCCATCTTCATTCCACTGTTACCATGACAACCATTGCCAGCAGCTGGGGTGGGGGTGGGGGGCTCTGCAGACCGGACAGAGGAAGGGCGAGGGCATCTAAGGGGCTGTGCCCTGGCCGGAGATGCCACTTTCCTCTTCAGCCCCTCCATTGGGTCACCTCTCCCGGGGGACATGCTACCCCCTCCCCCTCCCGCCCGCCCCTCCCACCAACCCCCCAGCAGCAGCCCCGGCCCACCCAGATCTGCAGCTTGATCCTCTTGTCATGGCGGTAGACGGTCTTGACCTTGAAGTCGATGCCCACGGTGCTGACGAAGGCCGGGGTGAAGGAGTCGTCGGCGTAGCGGAACAGGAAGGACGTCTTGCCCACGCTGCTGTTCCCGATGAGAAGCAGCTTGAACATGTAGTCGAAGTTCTGGTCGGCAGCGTCCCGGGGGCCCGCAGGGGGGTCTCCGGCTGACGCCATCTCGGAGACCTGGGGGATCCGCAGCTGCAGCCGACCGCAGCCCTGAAGGACGCAATCAAACACCAATGGCAGGTTCGGTGGATCTACCTGGCCTGGGTTCAAATGCTGGCTCTGCCAGGTGGAGATCCAAATCACCTGGCGTTATGTTGTTCTCACTGATTGGCTCTCAACATCCTCTTCTGGAAAACGGGATGCCTTTCCTAGTTCCTACCATAAAAGGCCATTGGATGACCAGGCAGGAGTGGCTCACACCTGTAGTTCTAGCTACTCAGGGGGGCTGAGATCTGAGGATGGCGGTTCAAAGCCAGCCCAGGAGAAAAGTCCCCCATGAGACTCTTATCTCCAATTAGCCATTCAAAACCAGGAAGTGGGGCTGGGAAGGTGGCTCAGTGGAATAGCGCTTGCCTGGCATGCATGAGGCTCTGGGTTCGATTCCTCAACACCCCATAAGCAGAAAAAGCCGGAAGTGGCGTTTTGGCTCAAGTGGTAGAGTGCTCGCCTTGAGCTGAAGAGATGAGGGACAGTGCCCAGGCCTAGAGCTCAGGCCCCATGACCGACAAAAATAAAACAAACAAACAGAAGTGGTGCTGTGGCTCAAATGGTAGAGCACTAGCCTTGAGCAAGAAGAGGTTCAGGGGGCTGGGAAGGTGGCTCAGTGGTAGAGCGCTTGCCTCGCATGCCTGAGGACCTGGGTTCGATTCCTCAGCACCACATAAGCAAAAAGAAAAAAGCCGGAAGTGGCGCTGTGGCTCAAGTAGTAGAGCGCTAGCCTTGAGCTGAAGAGCTGAGGGACAGCGCCCAGACCCAGAGTTCAGGCACCATGACCGGACCCAAAAAAAAAAAAAAAAAAGAAGAGGTTCGGGACATCTCCTAAGTCCTGAGTTTAAGAGGCACAACCGATTAAAAAAAACAACAAAACTTCATTGGTTGGGAGCCTAAAATGAGGTGTGTGTGTGTGTGTGTGTGTGTGTACACTAGTACTGAGGCTCCAAACTCTTTTTTTTTTGTCAGTTGTTAGGCTTGAACTCTGGGCCTGGATGCTGTCCCTCAGCTCTTCAGCTCAAGGCGAGCGCTCTACCACTTGAGCCACAGCATCACTTCTGGTTTTCTGGTGGTTCATTGCAGATAGGAGTCTCACAGACTTTCCTGCCTAGGCTGGCTTTGACCTGGGATCCTCAGAACTTAGCCTCCTGAGTAGCTAGGATGACAGGCATGAGGCACCAGAGCCTGGCTTGAGGCTCAAACTCAAAGCTTCTCCTTCTCCCTTGACTTTTCCTGCTGAGGGCCGGCCCTCTACCACTTGAGCCTCATCTCCAGTCTCTCTTTTTTTTTTTTTGCTGATCAGCTGGAAATCAGAATCTCACAGCTTTGTCTGCCCACACTGGCTTTGAATCAGGATCCTCAGCTCTCAGCCTCCTGAGTAGCTAGGATCAGAGATTCGAACCAGCAGCACCTGGCCCAAATGAGTTTCTTTATTCATTCAATGAACACACCCAGCCTGTCTGTGCCAGGGGCTGTTCCTGGCAAGGACACAGCTGTGAATAAGACAAAGGGACAGGAGGAAGGCTTCCCACATGCTTTCTAGAGAGTTTGTATTGATACCCAGGGTATAACCACTGCTCAGAAATTCAAGGCTAGGGCAGGGGGACACCCAGGCTGCACCACACGTGTGGACTTTGCTCTCAGGTAAGCAGCTGGTAGAGCCCAGGTATGATCTGGAGGCACCTGCCAGCTGGACAGATTCCCCCCCCCCCTTTTCCTGGGCATGTGTTGACTTTGGCAGGTATTGGCTACTGGAGTGCCTGCCCGCCCTCCCCCCTCCAAGCCCAGTTTAACCCTTTCCCTGACTTCCCAAGACAGAACATTTGTAAATCCCCGGCTCTGCTTGCAAGTTGGTACTTGCTATTTTCTATTTGTCAAAGGGGCTGGAACTTTCTCCCTTTTCTGTGAGGCTGACTCAAACTCAGACTCAACCCAGGGAGGCAGGAGATCGATTCCTCCAAGGCCAAAAAAAACAGGGTCCCAGGCGTCTAATTATCTCAGGCCCCTCACTTCCACGACCACCACCCTGGTGGTCCTGTTCCCCTTCGCCCGCCCCCAAGACTCTGCTTTGGGACCCATAACCAAATTGCAAGCATTTGCAAACACCCAGTATGCATGGGGGGGGGGTAGGCGGGGAGGAGGCTCAGCTCTGGGTCCTGCCCCGGGCCTCAGTTTCCCCCAGCTGTCTACCGCAGCTTCCGGAACTGGAGGAGAGGCGGGCACCCCGCCGAGCTGTTTCTCAATGACCACCGGGCGTTTTCTTTTTCTTTTTTTTCAGCCAGGACCCAGCCAGCCCCACTCCGAGTTCCCGGAGAACGAGTTTGAGGAGGGGCAGGGCCGCCAGGCTGCGGCCCCGGCCCCGCCCCACCTCCCTCCACCGGGCACCGGGTTAGGGTCGGGGCCCTCGGACCCGGCCCCCTTCTCCGCGGGCTTGGGGCGCCGGCCGCC